AAGATTGCTGCTAAATGTACATTTGCTACCTGCACGTTTGGTCAAACAGGTTTTCTGGCAATAACACATAACCAGCTGGCCAAAACCAGATAATGTGTGCATAAAAACCAGAATTAAAAAATTACCAATACACTTTCTTTGGGAGGCAAAATGGTTGGGGGAAAGAAGTCAAAACACCCCATCTTCTATAACCTTTTTATAACCTGATTGTTGCCTTTTGACCCCCAAACAACACAGCAAACCTATACATGGGGAGTATCACTGTACGCGGGAGATGTTGCTGAACATATTGGGCAGTGTTTGGCAGTGACACATAACAGGATCTGTTAATTCATGCCTAAAGTACAATGTGCTTGAAAAAAACAGAAAAAAATTTACTAACTCAATGTTTGACAAAGCCTGGTGGTAGAATTAGTGCATGGAAAGTGTTAAAATACCACCATGTGAAATACCCTAGGATGTCTACTTTTCAAAAATATATGGTTTGATGGGGGTAAAATACATTGGCAGGCTTCAAAAATGTCCCAAATAGGACATGCATGCAGGTTGACTACATGTCAAAATTTCAAGCTGGGAAACTGATATGCGCACCTGCCAAATGTGGCCTTTTAGCCCCCCAACAACCCAATACACCTATACATGGGGGGTATCCCTGTACTCGGGAGATGTTGCTGAATACATATTGGGGTGTTGTTTGACACCTAACAGAATCTTTGAATTTATACCTGAATTGCAATGTATGTGAAAATTTTTTAAAAAATAAACTACCTATGCAAAGTTTGGCAAAGGTTTGTGGTAAAATGGCTGCATAGAAAGTATCAAAATATTCTTGAATACCCTGGGTTATCTAGTTTAAGAAAAATATATACATGTGGGGTGTTTTTTGGAGATTTATGACATAACAGTGTTACAATGTCACTATTGATACATTTGAAAAATATACATTTTGAAACAGCAATTTCCTACTTGTACTTATAGCCCTATAACTTGCAAATAAAAGCAAAAAAAAACACATAAACATTGGGTTTTTTTAAACTCAGGACAACATTTTGAATCTATTTAGCTGTTTGTTTCATTTGATTTTTGTAGATCAGTAAAAGATTTTTTACGTAAAAGTCAAAAAAGTGTGTTTTTTTAATTTTTTACCATATTTTATTATTAATTTTTAATTAAATTATATGACATAATAACAATAATAGTATGTAAAGAAAGCCCTTTTTGTCCTGAAAAAAATCAATATATAATTTGTATCAGAACAGTAAATGAGAGATCAGAAAATTACAGCTAAACACAAACACCACAAAAGTGTTAAAATAGCTCTGGTCCTTAAAGTACAAACATCGCAAAAACTGTCCGGTCCTGAAGGGGATAAGATTTAATTAGAAATCACATAAGTCCATTGTAATATAGAAATACAATTTCCCTCTCTCTCTTTACGATTTTGGCTCCCCATCATATATTAAGGAATTATAAATCAACATTCTCGCTCCAATCGGCAGTTTACCCCTGCCATAGGTTCATTGAACTTAGTAGTTTGCCCATAACCCTCATTTATTAGAGGGAAATATGTTACACTTATAACCTCTATTTAGAGGTATAGATAGTGGTATGTCTATCTTGAGGTTCAAGAAGACATCCACATGTCTATATGTTTATCTATATGTTTGTATTTTGGTTAGATTTTGAGGCTGCCTGCAAAGGACAAGGAATGGGGTTAATTTTTTTTCTTTTTAGAATAATGGTCAGATTAATGACAGTGAATGTACAGGGACTTCGCTCTAATTTTAAACGACAAACGGTGTTAAAAAAAATGAAAAAATAAGCTATAGATATAATAATGGTTCCAAAAACTCACTGGGAAGCAAAGAGAAACAAAATGGTGGACCAACAAATTTAGACATATATACTCAGCATCTTTATCTAAAAAAATTAAAAAAGGAGGTGTAGCCATTACAATGGCTATTACCTTACAAGTAAATGTTAGATACCAGAGTAAGGATGGTGTTTTTGTTTTTCAGACGGAACCAAATAAATCATAGAAGAATTCAGCATTCTCTAGTTTTACCAAGAATATCTATGATATTTCACTAATGGAAATGCTCTTTAAGTGTGTTAATAGATGGCATTTTGTTCCAACCAGAATAGCTCAAATGTTTCCAAATAGTGATAATAAATGCAGGAGATGCAAAGAAGAGATAGGTTCCTATATCCATATGTTTTGGGAATGTAAAAAAGTACGTACCTTATGATCATGGGCTTTTGAGTTCATCAAAGAAAGTATTAAAGACAAATATTAAAATTTCCCCCAAAACTGCTTTATTAAATATGAATTTGTCTGCATGTTGAAAAGAACAAGCGTATTTAATAACTCATAGTTGTGCAGCAGTTAAGATCTTAATCGCAAGAGGTTGGAAGCAAAGTCATCCTTTTTCAAAATCAACATTTTTCAATCAAGTGTTATGTCAATATATGAAACATGGGGGGGGGGGGGGGTTGCACTCACCTGAACATGCTTAAATGGGGTGCTGCTGGGGGCCATATTATACAATAAACAATACACAAGATCCAGCGCACTCTCCTATCTACTAAACAGCAACTTCAATGTTGCCACGTCAATGTACCCTATCTTTGGCAGGTCCTACTCTCACAGTCTAATGTCTACTCTTGAATAACTCACTTGGGGGAAAAATTCCATCTGAGGTTCTCTGCAGTACAAGGCTAAATAGAGACCTGAGATGAGGCATCTGTAACAGGGAGGGGTGAAAACCAAGGAGTTGGCTAGACTCCCAAATATATATATATATATATATATATATATATATATATATATATGAAACATGGGGGTGGTTGCACTCACCTGAACATGCTTAAATGGGGTGCAATACACAAGATCCAGCTCACTCTCCTATCTACTAAACAGCAACTTCAATGACAGATGGGGTACATTGACGTTGTGGCAGGCTTATGCAATGTATGATCATATAATGTAACTAAATCCCCATTATTTTTGCCCAGATTAGGTGTTTTTAAAAAAAATACCTTTAGAAAAACTTTTAAAAAAACTAATAAAATCTGTCAACATTGAAGTTGCTGTTTAGTAGATAGGAGAGTGCGCTGAATCTTGTGTATTGTCAAGTGTTATGTCAGCTTTAAATGGAAAATGGTTTGTGGGGGCAGCGGAAAAATCAAATGTTATATCAAACAATGTCTTGGAAATTCCACACATAATATTTCAGTAGTACCTTTTACAGAAAATAATGAAGTTGAAGTATCCTTGTACCCGGCTGGCAGTCAATAAGATTTAAGTATATTTTTAGTCCTGTTTCCTATAGGGTGCACTGACATGCTCCAGTAGTTATTGTTTTGTCTTTCCTGTAAAGGAAATCAATAAAAAGTATTTAATAAAGAAAACAAAACAAAAAAATGGGGAAGAGGAAGATATATCAATGGTTTCTCCTGCACAGTGCGAAGACTGGTTGCTTTACAGAATAGAATGGCTCTCGGCTATCTACTGGCACCCAAGGAGGAATATGTAAGGTAGTAGGTGTTCAATGTTGTACTTACATTACTAATAAGAACAGGGCAATACAACATGACCTGCAAGTTCTAAGTGAAGTCCAGACTAGAATTAGACAAGGGTTGTTAGAAAATTTGAAATACATATTTGGTATAGATATGTCATAGTACCTATTGTTACACAGGTCGTGATACAGCCTAAAAACGTCCATTAAGGGGAGAGGGACCCTTTGTACAGTCCCTCTCATCTCACCAGTGGTTCCAACACTGGCTGCTGTAGAGCCGCCCCTTAATATGGCGCGGCAGGTGCTCGCTGACATCATGATGCTGATAATGTCACGTCCCACCAAAACGTTAGAATTAAAATATTTTGGGGGGCATGGTTATATAATTAAAGACATCGAGTACTTAGGGTGTGGATCATTGTCCTGTTGTGGTTTCTGTTTTCAGTTACCAAGAGTGCGTTATAGTCCGTGTCTGTTCTGGTATTTTGATCTCGGCTTTCCTTGACTATTCCCTGTGCTGTTATCCTGTGTCTCGCTTCCCTGATTTCTGGCTTCCCTGACTCGGCTTGTTCCTGTCCATTCTTTATCTAACAGCATCTAACCCAGCCATTCTGAGGACCGGTACACGTTGTCTAATCTATTATCATATACACTCTTCGTGTTGGGTCACTAGGTATTGTGACAAAATAATTGGTTGGTATTACATGTATAAAGATTTTTGCATGCTTATTAATAATTGTCCTTTCTATATTCATGCAATGGTATTTTTCTTTGCAAACTGTTAAGGTTCCAGACCACAAAATTATTAAAATTATCTAAAACTGCAACCCCAGGTTTCCCAGGCTATGGAATTATATTAGTTTTCCCTGGCCCTAGAAATACTGGGAAGACATGGTTCATAATATCTTTTCTCTGTGGTCTGGTTACCCCTTTCTGTTAACCTTTTATCCCAATCCTATCCATTTCCAGGTTGCACTACTTCCTATAGTGGGTTTTAAGACAGCCTATGGGAAGAGGCTACCCAAAGAACCTGCTAACGGGTCCATCCCCTTGATGTATTGGCCTTCCAGATCACATCCTGATGACTCTACTAATTTATGTTTAGTATGACTATAAAAGTCATATAGAGTGATAGAGAGCGATATAGGAATAGCAAAATACAGAAATGGAAAACGGTTGTGTGCCGGAACCGACAATGCTGGTAGGCCTGTAAAATAAAGAGGTCCAACCCAAGGTTAAAAAGAGAAGAAAAAGTGGCCTGACCACAGGACTGAGAGGATGCAAGTCTCAGCAGCTCCTGCTACTCAAAGCTGAAAAAATGAATAAAGCTACAGATACTGCACGGCTGGAAATCTGACCCAGAGCCCTTGCTTCCCCCCCCGATGGACCGGTGGGTGAAATCCCGGTCCACCCCCACTCGACCTTCCCCAGCCAAGCTACACTCCACAAAGCATGCAGGCCGCTAGCAAGGCCTACACCATGGCGGAAGGTTCACTCACCGCAGCCCAGTGCAACACCAGGAGAGAAAAGCTGGAGGCCCTCATGCAGACCCCCGAATCGGGGACCACACCAGGTGGCATATTCCAGGGTTCGACACCTGCAATAGCGTGGAGGGACATGGCATACCCCCCACACTCGATGGGCAAACAACGGAGCAGACGCAGCCAACACAGAGAGGCCAAGACCCAAGAGACTCTCATGCTACACCTCCAAAGGCTGCCCCACAGAGTTGTATTGACATGGCAAAGACCCAAGAGAGGCACAGCCCCCCTGAGAAGACGACGAAGCACAAGGCCCATAATGGCAGCAATGCCAACGCAATGGCGACCAGTCCTGCAGCCACTTGGCAAAGGGACATTACACCCTCTCACACCCAAGCGACCAAACAGGCCACCATGCGACGACCGGGGCACCCCAGACTCCCCAGAAGCAAGGATGTATGCTGCACAGAGAATTGGAAGTGGTCGGAGATAGACAAAAGCAACAGGAAATTTAAACAACAGAGGTCCAGTTCATCCTACATACCCCATGGCTGACCTAGGCAGAGACTGTTTGAAGTGGCCCATTAGAGACATCGACTGATTCTCTAACCCATCATGACTGCTGCTCCTTATCTATTGCTGGAACAAAGACACCAGTCGACCACCCTTACCACTCTTATGGACTCACTCCAAACCCGCAGCCCAGAGAGATTGGTTGTGTCGGGCAAGGGGACATACTGTGCCTCACAACTGGGATCCAAGCTGAAGTTTGCCTCTATTTTATTCTTATATTATTTTATTGTCTTTATTATTTAGGTTACTGCCCAGATAAAATGATAGCTCTGTCTCTTATGCCCTCTCCCCCCCCAGTTGCCGTGATCCTAAATACCCAGCGGCTACCAAATGTCAGCCATACCCTGCCTTGTTCTTTTATTTACTATCTATATAGAATAAACTTGTTTACTGTTGGTTTACCCATGATTATAACTCTCTACCTGATGTTAGCTTGCAAAGCCTGTACACCCACTAACCACAAAACTAATATACAAGCATGCATACGTAGACTAACTACACTTTTATAGTCCTACACAAGTATTTATAGCCTGTTTTCTCTCACAAATATAAAAAGTGCTGTTTTTCTCTGTCATGACAATGTTTTCCTTTGAATTGCCTGTGCTCGCTGTCGTGGCGCTGCAGGCTTATTTGTTATGTTATCTTATGCACAAGAAAAAAAAAAAAGAATTTAAACAAAAAAAAGGAGAAGAAAAAGAGGTTATGATTGAGTAGTGGGAGTGGGGGGAGGGACATGCAAATCGCTAGAACAAGAATGATGTGGAGCAAGGTTTAAGTAGGGAAATCATGCCCCTCCAACAATTACACGCAAAAGCCTTAATACTTGTGTTAGGGGCAAAAAAGCCATCTAGAGTGATAGAGAGCAATATAGAAATAGCGTAATACAGAAATAGAAAAAGTTGGTTGAGGTGTGCCGGAACCGACGATGCTGGTAGGCCTGTAAAATAAAGAGGGCAAAATGGAGAAATACTGTAAAATCGTTAATACAGTCAACAATCAACATACATACTTATACACAAGGTTATATGATAATGCTTGCCAGAGTTCCAATACTGGTTGTGGAATGTACTGTGAATAAGCAGAGGACTTACAATGACCTAATGTTTAATTATGTGTAGTGGTATAATTCTGCATAAAGCCATGGATGCTGCCCCTAAAGAGTGACCAGAATAATAGCATGTTAAGGCCTGGTCTTCTTGACTAATGTTCTGACATAACTCATGAATGAGATAACTATGATGGTTGTGTGATAATAAAGTTTAAGGTGGCAGAAAGCATAAAAATTACATAAAATGAGAACGATATGTAGGTTGCAAAATGTCCTTTTATATTGATGTGACATGCATGTGTATTGGTTGAATTGATGTATTGATTACATTGTTATTCATAATTTTCTTCCCTTTACATAAAAAATAATGGCCTATAGTAGTAATTCAAAATAGACACATGCTGTGATGTCATAAACATAACTTCTAATTTAAGTTCATAAAAATTCTATTTCCTCCCAGTTCTATCCGAAGCTGTGAAAAAGCTTCAAACATCTACATTCTTATACACGTCTCAATGGCATTCTCAGTTGGATATCTCTGAAGACCTGAAGCTTGACTAATCTGTATTATTGTATGATTTTGAGCAATGGAGGTTTGAGCTATGGGCATACATACATTTCTTATTTTTAACCTACTTTTGTCTCTCATTTCTTACCTCTTCTTTTCCATCTCATTATATTACCAGGTGATGTCTAACCTGAAGGGGTTAAACCATTTAACCCTAACGTCTTCAAGTGGGCACGCAATTGCTCTGCTCCTGAACTTCCCACCACATGTCAAAGGATTCAATTAGGAAGCCCCAAACAGGACACAGCTGATAGGTTTATGTGTCAGTAGTTTCCCATTAAGAAAAGAGAGTGAAAAAAATGCATGTTTTACTCCCTTTTCCATTGCGGAGCTACTGATAGGCTGATAGCGATTAGCCTACCAACTGAGAGCATGATTTAAGGCATCCTGATTGAAGCCTCAGAAATGGAGTGGAAGTTTTGGGACAGAGCGATAAGGTACAGACAGCACAGATCACTGTGCAGGGGGTGGGCCTTCCTGTGAAGATGGCACACTTGCCTGCCAAAAGGCAGGACTGTCCCAGCAAATTTGAGACTATTGGCAACTCTGCCTTTTATTAATTCTCAACTCTATGGATAATCCATCTGTCAAAAACCAGGGAGGGCTAATCTATTAAGCATCTGTACTTATGTCCAGGAACATCTCGCATCCACAAATAGTAGATTGGTTTACCATAGGTAATCAATTATATAGAACAAATGGACATTTAAAGACCATTCCATTGCAATTGTAGATATATCCCTAAAGAAACATGCTTGTATTTTTTTTCGCATCTTTTTTTTGGGGGGGTTGTGTGTGGGGGAGGTTATGTAGCTGATTGTAGCCTGTGCAAGGGGGTAGGAGCTGTTAACCAGTTTTTTTTTTGCCTGGTTTATCTCTTAAAGCCATCCCTTGCAAACAGTAGAAGACACGAGGGTTTGGGCATTTTTTGTTTCCTCGTGGCTAATCTTAGGTCAGAGGGACCCTATCCATGCAGTTTGCCGGGGTTGTGAGAATTGCCTGACTCTTTCGTGTTTTATGCAGCATTATGCTCACAATCAGTGAAAATGATACACATTATGTATCTATAAATAACCCCCCAAAAAAACATAACACTCCAGAAGTAGTGAAGTATACTTTGAACCAGCCAGCAAGTCGTGCCTTCCAAGCAAAACTCATTTTATGAAATACAATCTTCAAGCAACTAGTAAATCTACCAATGTATTGTTCAAATTTACTAAAGACATTGACAAATATTTGGAATTTCCATTGTGTGTTTTAGATTTTTTTTTTTTTTTTTTTAATTTGAAGGTTTCAAATCAATGCAGAAAAAACATTTCACACTAAAGTAAATTTTATACATAATATTTTTTTTTTCTTTCCCCTCTATGTCTATTTTTCCTTTTGGTATTCTATTTTTGATATTAAATTCACTGCATTGGTTAGTACCTAAAATGCTATACACTTTGTCTTTTTTTTCGTTTGATTTTTTGTAATTCACATTTAATTAAGAGTTTACCGTGGATTTTTACTTTCAATAGAGTGTTAGCGACATTAAACTTATGAAACAGCTACTTAACTACTCACACATTCTTAACATATTAGGAGCCTCTGCTCTAGGATTTGCAGTGCGCCATAGCAACAAAACCATTATTCAAGATTTCTTTATTAGTCAGACTGAGAGCTGTCTCTGGGTCTACCTTAGTACCTAGTATGAGAGATCTCATTGTCAGTTTCTTTTGTGAGCAACATTCTAATCTCATTATAAAAGGTTCTGCATTTTAAAAGGCTTCCCTCTCTGTTAATGTGAACATGTCTCTCTTTTTGGGGATGGGGGTTTGTATTTTTCAATATGTTTACAACTGTTGGATCTAATATTGCTATAGTTTGTTATTTGTCTGTTCCTAACACATTGTTCACTAAACCGTAAATTATAGTCTTAAAAAAAGGATGGAATAGCAAATTTTTTATCAAAATAAGTCAGATAGGAAAATAACATTATTTAAGTGTTGATTCAGTTTGACAATTTTGGTCTAAAAAAGTGTCATTCCTTTTCAGGCTTACCCAAAATCTTTGTTTAGCAAGTAATTTTTTTAGCATCCCATTATGATTTTGTAAGTTAGACACTTTGTTACCATGGATTTTTTTTTTATTTATTTAAATACAATATTTGTGATTTTGGTGAAAATAAATACCACTAAAAAATACAAAAAATATGAGCTAATGCTCTAGTTATTAGAACATTAGCTCATATTTTTGTAATGAAAAATACCACAGGAGCAGCATTTACATTTTTGTATTTTGAGCAATGCAAAATTTAAAAGTATTGTATAAGTGAAACGAAAAGCTGTTTCAAGTGTACTTTCATACATGCAACAGTCTTAAAGGAACATTAAACATACATTACAGCTTGCGTGTCCTGGAACACCCCTTCTCATTACACAGAGTTAAACCATTTCAGAACAGTTGGACATCGTATCTGGATCTGCTGGGTGCCACTCCCCATCTCTACTACATGACAGGAAGAACTTACAACTCTTATGCAGAAGCTTCCATTAGCTCCACAAGGTTTACCTCAGATATCAATCTTCAAAAAAAATGTGACTCCTTGAAATGGAGGTGGTGGGAGTATCATAGACACCCCTGGCACCATAACCACTACAGCACACTGTAGGGTTATGGTGCTTAGATTGTTCCTTTAAGTTCCACGTGTCTTTCATTGTGCCCCTGACCCACCATTCCAGGAATTGTCCTCTGGTGTTCAACTTTTGTATGCTATATCTAATATTTAAGAAGTATATTTCAGTGTTTGTAAAAAAAAAAAAAAAATATTAAAGAGATATACTTTGAATATAAATCTAGGATATTTGAGAATGGGATATATTTTGACCAAATTTGTTTGTTGACAAGACCAAATTTGAATAGAATATGCAATATGCATTTTCCAAATACTGCAAGTCTTGCTAACCTCAGCAGCTAACATGTAATCATTGTTCCCCACATAAGCACAAAAAAGAGCAACGTTTAAATATTTTCCATTGTTGGAATATAAATAACTGACTGCATCTCTATTACTTACATTTCCTTTTAATAATTCTGCTAGCAAACTGCATTTTCTGCACAATATAAAATGTGCCGAAATGACAGTTAAAGTACGTGCCTCTTCCCATTTTGGGAGCTAATTAAAATAAGCCTTCAGGATGGAAACTGTTTGAAGGAGTTTATACAGAGCAAGAGTTTTTGTTAAACGCATATCACTGCCGGCAAGATGGATTTTGTCAGTTTTGAAGAACAAGAAAACACATATTATAAAAATATTACACTG